AACCGATAGGAAACGTTTCCCTTTCGTCATCATCGTCGATGGCGTCTCGCAACTTTGACACCGTTGTACGAAATGGTCAACAGTCAAAACCTGCATCCTATTAGATATATATAAGTCGTTATAGATTGCAAGAATTGACTGTTCTCCAAGGGCATGCCGAGGGCGCAATGGCCCCCTTGCTGCCTCCGCGTTATCTCAATCGCGAACTTGCAAGCGCCTTCTGGCCCGTTAATATGTGCATTCACTGTGCAACACGGCTTGAAGGTGCGAGGACGTAGCAAAAGTCGCTGCGATGTTGGTGCAGGTTTCACTACGCCAAGGCGGGTGCGGAGGTTCACAAGTGCGGGCCCTCCAACGCCACCGACTTCTACGATCTGCTTCGGTGGGTCAACACCTCGGCGGTGGAGTCCGTGAACAGCTTCTTGAAGAGGTTTAGGACGCTGGGCTGGTACTCGGGGCTGGAGAGCTTCATGATCTTCCTGTCCATCCTCCTCAGCGGCTATAACGTCGATCTCAGGCGGGTAGACGATGCGAAGCTGAGGGTGACGGTGCCGGCAGGGCAATGGAGTGAGATAGTCAGGAGGCTGCTGTTAGGAGGGTGATCGGTTCGCTACCTTTGGAATGCAAAACGGTCCTGAAACACGATTGTATCAGATTGTATCAGATTGTATCAGATTGTATCACGTTCCAAACGGTGCGGAATGTGGATTGAATGAATGCCATTTTCTCACTCGCATGCATTGCAATTGGGGGGGGATGGACAAAAATGGAGAGGCCAGGCTCGTCGCGTCACAAACGGGTGGAAAATGATCCTGATACATTGATGCGCTTGATACAGTCTTCACAAGTTCTCTATATATATACAAAAAAACACCCTCTCTTTTTTCAAAATATATATTATACTTTACCCTTGTATCTTGTATCATTTGTATCAGCTTCGTGATGGCCTTTCTTCCTCTAATTCCACCTCTTTCCCCCATTTGCTTTTGTGTCCTCTAAAGAAATTCCTAGTATCATTCTAAATATTGCTATCATCGCGGCCGTTCTCGGGTGACGAGAGACGTTTGGGGAACCGCTCACTACCTGATACAGCTTTTATGGCAGGGCCAAAAACGCGTATCAGTTGTATCACCTCCCAGCGAGTTACCTGGATTCTCGAGGACCCCAACAATCTTCTAATGAAGGCTGGATTCGACACGATTCGGCCACCGGCGGTTCCGAGTTGCCGTCTTCGTCCTCCCGAAGTTCGTCATCGGTCTTGAGCCGGATTCCGAAGAAGCCAGCTGATCTGCGTCGCGAACCATCGACCATCGGGATCATTCGATTTACGCCTGTGAATGGGTGTTGATAGATGTTCTTCGCTTTCATTGCCTGTGTTAGGATTCCGTCGTTGGCCATCGCTCTATCGTGTCCTAAACTCATCAAGAATGCGGCGTAGGCCGCCGTGATTTCGACTTTGGTGATCTTGTACTCCCTCCCCAGCTTGCAGAAACCGGAAACTCACGCACCCAACTGATCGTTCTCGGTCGTATATTTGGTGATAGCTGCGCTGAAAATCTGCGGGATTGGTTTCAGAGCCGGTGCGCTCGGATTTGCCGCCTTACGTGCGTAGTACATCATTGCTCCTTCCACGCAGAAATCTAGGGTGTCGGCAGCGCCCTCGTCCGACTCCATGTAGTTCTTCAGGTTGGTGTCGATAAGCCTGTGCAGTGGATTATTCGCGTCGATCTGGTCCTCGCTTCTGAAAAGCTTGTTGAACATCATCAGGAGGAGGCGCCGAATCATGCCCTCATCGTTGGCGGGGAACAATGGCCGGTAATTCGTCAGCATGCATAGCTTGAAACGCGGCACATAGTTCTCCGTCTTGCAGAACAACTGGCGAGCATTGATCCCGCCTCCACCGGTTAATTCCTTCAAAGAGCCGCAGTTGAGATGCTCTTCTTGTTCGCTCTCGTCCATGATCACGAGGCGAGCTGCCTTTATGTGCATCAGGTGGGACGACGCGGCCGATGCGCTCTGGCTAAAGGCTGGTTTGATGAATATGGCCTTTGCACCGGTGGTGCAATACGTGCCGAATGCCTTTTGCAGTGCGATTTTCAGCTGCGTTTTTCCGTTTCCTCCGCAGCCATTCAAGATTGAAAGGAGCTCTTCACAGGTCTCGCCCGTGAGGCAATACCCAAAGAACATTTGGACCCACTCGATGATGCTTTCGTCCAGGACCGAGATCATGAAACCCCGGAATTTCGCTGTGGGGGCTCTGCTTGCCCCTCGCACGTACGTGAAGGTTTGGTTGTTGCACAGATCCTTCGGATGGTGCTTCGAAAGCTGCCCGGTCTTCAGATCGATCAACCCGTTTGGTGCATTGGCCACGCAAGGATCCTAATCGAACTTATCCGTGAGTTGGGCCACGAACAGTTCAGTGATCGTCGAATGCAGACACTTAGCCACTTGGACCGGATCTTGGACGTTGATTTTGAAGGGGGGCATATCCCTCTCGCTTTGATCCATGCAAGATTTCGTGGCAGACTTTATCATGGGTTTCCGCTTCTCGGGAACCGAATCCAAGTCCACTTCGCGCGTCTCTTGGTTCCAAAAGGGTGCTAAAACAGGGTGCTCCGATAGCAGCTTCCTCTCATGGTCGTCTCGCTTCATCTCGTACCAAGTCATCAAAATCCCCATCTGCGATGTGAACACGTTTGAGACGAGATTGTAAGTGTCTTGGATCCAAGAGGAGCCGTTCCATACGTAGAAAACCGCCGCTCCTTTCTGTGACTTTTCTGCTTCGTGCACGGTGGTAAGGATTCGGCCTTCAATCATGTATAAATATGCAAAGAGCTTGCCCAAGTTGGCAAAAGCTCCAGGTACGGCATTGGCAAGTACGATCTGAAGCAGCAAATTCCGGGTCTCTTGAGACCCCTTGATGTGCCTCATAATTACCTGCATGTCGTCGTATTGATCGACCGGATCGCTGGTGGCATCCTCAAGAGCTGCTTCTAGGCTCAATTGGCCGAGCTTCCTCACCGGCTCGTGGGAACATTGGTCACCGTGGCAGCGGTAGTAGACATTCCGCCCGCGCTTCAGCAGGTTGAAATTATTGCTGCCTTGATGTTCGCGGCCGAAGAAGCACGTCCTAGGCCCGGTCGTCCGGAAGCAGTAATACGTACCGTATAGACCGTGCTGGAGCGAGCTCGCATACGTGCTTGACGAATCCTTCGCCTTCTCCTTCAGCATCTTCTGAAGCTCTCGCACGAGCAGACCATCCTGCGCCAATGGCACATGTGTCGCACCCCCTGTGACCGGCTCGACCGGTCTGGCCGGCTGGACCGGCTCATCTTCTGAGGCTGGATTCTGGTCAACTTCGCCACCGCTGTCGACAGCGCGGGGCAGTGGGGCACATTCCGAGGCGGCGATCGAAGGCCCCGCACCAGCTGAGCCTCGATTGATAGTATCGACAAGCCAGCTTGGCATTGCCTGTGGGATTCCGTCGCCCTCAGGTGCCCAGGAGTAGCCTCGAGATTCGCCGTGCTGCCCCAGATATCGAGCAGGTGGGGCAAAGCAGAGACCTCCGATGCCTCTGCCATCGATACCGTAGTCCTTGCCTTCGACGACCAGCCCTGCAAAGTTGTTAGTTCTATTCAGGCCGACCGTTGCGGTGATGTCGAAGTAATAGTGGTAACCCCCACTGCCGGTGACGACCTTCAATGTTGCAGGCTCACCGTGCTGGCTTGTTAGCTTGTTCCAAATTTCAATACCGGAGCGTTTTATCTTACCGTCCGACTTGATACTGCTTGCAACGTCGACGTCGACGCAAAACAGCTTACTTGGCTCTGTCATTACAGCAAGGCCGTTACACTTCTTGGACGACCTGAGGACGCTCCCGATTTTGGCTTTCCACTTGTCCACCGTTGCCAGCTGACCCCAGGGAAGTGAGAATTTCGGATCTTTTTTACCGCTCGCTTTCAAGGTGATGGTCACTGGTACACAATAGATTTCGTGCGTGCTCAGGCGCATGATCTCCGAGCTGACGTCCTTGGGGTCTAGGGCCGACGGCCTCACGTCGGATCGAGCGCCCGGGGTCAAACCGTCGGGGTATTGTTGAGGAGCCTGGAGGCCTGACGCTGACAAGGTGGCGGCAGTCTCAGAGGAGTTGCTGGTGTTCATGGCGCTGAGCATGTTATACTCTAAGGTTCTGTTAGGAAAAAAATAAGCGTCAGAAAAACGCACGTACGCGGACAACCCTCGAATATTTTCTCAAGTGAGACTACGACTGAAATGTCAGACACACTTAACAACCTACCCAAGAAAGGCACTTACGCCGACGAGGTGTTTACCTGTGAGTGCCGCCATTGCTTGACGGCACGAAAATACAAACTGCGGAATCCGGATGCTCAAAACCGTTCTATGGCCGAATACTATCAGCGAAACAAAGATACCCTCCTCATTGATCAAGCATGGCTGCGATACAAGCGAGGGGTGAATCTTCACTTCAAGACCCTTACGAAACTCAAACAAGCTGGCTTCCCCGTAGAAATGACCGCTGGTGCGCCAGCCTCTCAGCCTACAGAGAATGATCTGATGCATTTCGTTGCAGTCGAAGCCGCTTAGCCCTTTGGTTTCCTTTCGTACGATCGCATCTGTGTGGTGACTGAATGGAGCATCCTAGACGCCACATATTGCCTATCCGCTAGCGAGGCGTCGTTCTGGTACCGGTCTGTCAGGAAAATTGTGCCGCAAGTGGTTGATTGTCAGATGTCGCCCATCAGTGAATGGAATCTCGCGAATGAATTGGGTTAGGTACTCGTCGTTCATAGGGTCGCCAAGGTTGCTCAGCAACGTCAGGAAAAACGCTCGAGGTACGAGCTCGATCGAGCGCTTGATGTAACACGAGAGTCGCTTCGGCATCTCGAACCGCTGCTCCCCGTACTGCTTTGCTGTTTTGAACGACTTTAGCACGAGTACGTAAGTCTCGGTGTCTCTAGACTCCTTCAAAACGTTTCCGTACTCATCGAACATGTCCTTTGCGGCCTGATTGTGAAAGCTGCCGTCCGCTTTCTGCAACGGGAGGTCGGACCAATCGCGCCGCTTAGGCGGTTCGAGAACGTTGGCAGCCAGAAGTAGGTGTTGGAAGACCACCTTCACCTCCTCTCGATTCAGGCGCCGCCCGCTCCCTCGAAACTCTGGCAGGATCTGACGCCTTATGCGCCGTCCCAACTCTTCCATTTTGTCCTTGATCTCCTGCATCGTGATCCAATTGTCCAACTCTTTTTTGGTGGCCTTTTGGGAGCCCGCGTTTCTCATCTGTTCAGCCTTTGCCAGCAAAAAGCACACGTAGTACTTCCTGTGAGTCTCCTGCCACCCGTTCTGGCGAGAGAGGGCCATAAGAGGGGTCAGCTTGTTGCACAGTGACCCTTTGCTTGGGTAGTGCTTTTGGATGACCTCGATAACCCGATCTACGCTGTCTTTGATCCACTCTAGGTCATCCGGCAGGGAATCGCCCGAACCCAGAAGGCGATGGACCGCATTTAAAGACTTGACATACTGAGCACAGGTGCTCTCAGCCCTGCCCTCTCCCTCCAGCAATTTTGCATGGCACATGGCCGAGCCGCAGCGCACGATCCTTACGTCATCATCCACGGCTGCTTCCTGCGAGGATGTCATTTAGATATACTGAGGAAGTATTCCCAGAATACCACGAGTTCAAAACGACGTCCCCCTGACCATCATAACCCCTTCGAAAGCAATTCCAAGGGAGTCGGGTCGTGTTTTTAGGAGGGGCACGGACACCAACATCCACTGATTCGGAGAAAAGTGCACTAGGTCGGGATTTAAAAACGCGGTATTTTCTGAAAATACCGATCCAGGGATTCTAGCTGATAAGGGGGCATGTTCGCATTTAATACTGCTTTCGGCCTGACGATTGGTCGGGAACTGGGCATGATTCTAAGAGGTTCGAGACATTTACTTGGAGTGCGTCCGGGGGGAGGTCATTTTCTTTGAGCCCTGCTGCATTTTTTTTCATTGCATTTGACAACGATATGGAAGAGCAACCTCTTGACGAAGGTAAAGACCGGCGTTCGTTTCGGGTTCTCAAAGCTCTTGACATGAAGTGCACTGATCAAAGCAATAGGCTGGATGGAGCTCGGCTGGAGATCGACGCCGAGAAGGGCAGAGTAGTCCAAGCGGGCTCAAGAGCAGGATCTTCTCTTTTTCGACTGCTCAAGGCAGATTCCCGTAAGTCCGCAACCCTTCCCTACGCATGCAGCATTCTCCTACAGGAAACGACGAGAAGCAGCAAGCATAAGCAGTTCGCATACTCTGTCTCTCTTTGCGCATTACCTGAAATAGAAGGCCTGAGGGAATGCAGTTTCAGGGAAGTTACCGAACAACGGCAACGAAGCTGACGTTGGAGGCATTTGATGCCTTGCTGCAGAAATCAACGGGGAGTTTGAAAAAACAAAGCGTGACAGCGGCGGCCCTCATGGGTAAAAACCCAAGGCGTTCCAAACCTACGAAGAAGACTCAAACATTGGGGTCTACTCCTTAAGCTCCGATGACCAGTAATTTTACTTAGGGAAATATTCACGAACTGTCGAATCAACCCGTAAGGCTTGACACAGCAACGGCGCACGCTTCGATGCGTGAAAAAACGGACTACTTTCCTTAAACTTCTTAAAAGCTAGCCTCTCGCGCTGGCTGCGAGCCGGTTGTTGGCCTTACACTTGGCGGGGTTCGCCAGGAGGTCGAGCATGAGGTCATCGGCCGTGAGGTATCTCAGTTCGGCGATTTGTGCTTCCATCGAAATCTCATGCTGCGTGCGCACTTTGTCGCATGCTTTCCTGCTCTTGCTATGTTGCTCCGAACGTTTTAGAACAGACCCCCAGTCTACCAACAGATTGTAGGGGTTTTTGCACCGGTGCACGACTATCTCCGCCTTTTGAAGACCACGGCAAACTGCATTGACCATGTCACACATCGAGAATGGTGGGAGGGTCCCTCGAATTCCCGAAATCTCCCCCAACGGCAGTACCATGCCGTGCGTGTGCTCCGTTTCGAAAGTCCGTTTAATGCGGCTGATAGATTTATCAAGACACTCCTGGTAAAACTGTCGGATCTGATTCTTCGTTTTGTTGTGGGCTGCCAATATATCCTGCATGTTACTCGTCTTAGATAGATGTATGAAAATTACAACTCGCTAAACCGTAATCACCTTCAGCACGTTTAGGTTGTTCAGACATTTGCGCAAAATATTTCCACGTAGCAAAGAGTCAAATCTGCCACAAAGCAAGGGGGGTATGAGCCATGAAAACGTTTGACAGTGGAGAGTCAAAACTTGCAAATCTTACTTTAGTATATAAGCTATTATCGAGTGCAAATTTTGACTGATCCGTTCGGCACCATGTAAATCTAAACGGCTCTACTCCAAGCACGGCAGGAGCTTCGTTCAGGCAAGACGGCAACCTCCTTTTAAAATTTGGGCAAAGGCAGCAGCCTTCTTTAGGACGTTCAGGTTCGTGCGCAAACCATTTTCACGTGGCGAGGGGTCTACGAAAAGACGGCGCCGGTCTCGAACGTTTGGCGGCAGCGGCAACTTGCTCTATCAGAATGTTCAGGTTTGTGCGCAGACTATTACCACGTGGCGGAAAAAAAGGGGCCAGTTCAAAACGCATGCGACATACGTCCATGTTGCGGAAACCTTGAATATTTCCCTTGAATATTTCTGTTGACGAAGGTGCCTTGCCATGAAATCTGTCACCAAGGCAAAGCAGACAAAAACCCTTGCACCACTGGCGAAACGCGAGAAGAGTGCGCTGGTCGAAGAGGCTTCGAGGCGATATCAAGAAATGCTCGAATCCGGAGAAGATGAGGAATTCAACGTTCTTGTGAAGGAGCATGAAGCGCAGAAAGCCCTTGGCCGGAGAGTCGAGAGTGCCAGGGGGCCGGTCTAGAACGGCGATAGCCATCTTTGGGCAAGACGGTCGCCTCGTTCAGATGACGTTCAGATTTGTGCGCAAACAGTTGGCAAGAGAGTCGAGAGCGGGCGGCAGGCTCGTTCAGGATGTTCATGATTGTGCGCAAATATTTCAACGTGGCGGAACAAAGATGTGCACATAGAAGATCGTGTTCAGGATGTTTAGATATTTGGACAAACATTTTTCAGATGCGATGGAACGTTGCAAATTCATGTCGATAGTGAATGACGTGCAAAACAGTAGATGGATATTTACAAGTCGATTTTTGTTGTCGGAAGTTGGACACCTGTCTCCAATCTATATACAAAGCTGCATCCTCTTAACACTACCTAAAGATCAACTAACGGTCTAACTACGTGCATAGACGCTCTTGACCCCCGGATAATACAGCTCCCTCTTTCCGAAAACGTTGACGGCCTTCCCGCTTCGCTTCAACCCCTTCCCCTCCATGCGCTTCTTCAACGCCTCGGGTTTGATTTCCTCATGCGAGAATTTGTTGTAGTCGTCGACGAAGTCATGCTCGAGAGTCTCCAGGCCGGTTCCCCGCAGGCAGTGCTTTAGAAAACGCTGCAGCATGTCGCAGTCTTCGAAATAGGCCCGCGTCGCCTCGACGACCTCCGGCGGAGTCTCGCCGAGGCCCTCATTGTAATACGCAACGGACTCGCGGGCGAGGAGGGAGAGCAACTGCTCTAGGACGTCGGGGGCTAGCATGCTTTCCTTCAGGCCGGTGTTTGCAAGCCGGTGGTCGGGATTCGATGGGTCGAATCTGTCGGCCGTCACGTAGCTGTTCGGGAATCTAAAGACTTCGATACGCCTGCGGAAGTTGTCGGCTTTTGGATTGGTCCCCGGGGGCAGCAGGGGGGGGTTGTTGGTCTGGATGAAGGGCATGTGGGTCAGCGGGAACTCCACGTTTTTGCCGTAGAGGTCTCGGGCGACGATGTCGCCCCCTCCGCACGTCGATAGAACGAGGGCCGCATCCACACACTGAGCTTCGTCCGTCTCGTCAGATATGACCATGCGCTTGTCCTTCAAGGCGAAGAGGTAGTGGGTTGGCGAGCCCTTCGAGGCAGGCCGCTGTCCAGGGGTTTTGACGACCGCGTCCGTGGACATGGTGCCGTAGTAGGGGCCAAAGGCGGCCTTGATCATCTCCTTCCACACCCCCTTCCCATCCCTGCAACGCATTACGAATCTTTGACTACCTTCTTTTTCGATTAAATCTGATTTTGTAAAGAAGAAGGACATTGAACATCCATATTGCATAGGAAGTGAAGGCCACTAACAGAACTGCACAACGGTCCTCTCCTTGTCTCCTGTAAATACTCTGCGCATAAGTCCAAACATCCTGAAGGGCCATTGACAGGACTCCACAACGGTTATTTTTCTCGGCTCCTGGAAATACTTTGCACACAAGCTCAAACATCCTGAACAACCTCAGGCTGGCTCACCTCCGAGCCCGATGAGAAAGAAGATCTTCTCCTCGCGCGTCATGCCATTTGCTGCGTAAGCAAACACGCGCAGATACCGCTGGATGAGCGGCTTGTTGGCGTTGAAGATGTCCTCCAAGAACTCCACGGGGGCCGGCGAGGCATGCTCCAGTCCCTGCCAAAACGGTGGTAAAAACTTAGAAAGTCGACACCCACTTGAATGATCGTGGAACGTTTGCAATGAAGGGGGGGGGGGGAGGTTGAGTTAATGGGAAGAGAAGCGAGGAGCTCACCATGTAGCGCAGATCGATCATGCGAGTGCACATGTGCTGCGGCCGGTGGGCGTCCAGAGCGCCCGTCTCCAGCTGCCAGATGCCGTTGCGGCAGTTGATGATGTGGACGTCCTTATCCAGGAGCGCAAAGAGGTCAAGCGCATACATCTCGCCCTGCATGACCTCCATCGTGCTCTTGATAGCCGACGAGTTGTTGTAAATCTTGACGCCTTTGATGATTTCTTCCAGTCTCTGAGCCTTCTTCTTGTCCGTCTCGTCTTTCGCCTCCTTCTGCAACCGTTCGCGTACTCGATCGTACACCCTGCTGAGCTAGTGCATCATGACGAACCGGACGTATGCGCCGGTGGGATCCTCCTCGTAGCACGTCCGTTCCAGAAGTACCACTTCTTGTAGAAGAACAGTCTGCGTAGTAGAAAAGAGAGACTATATATGCCCGCCGGTGTATCAGAAAGTTTGGCCAAAAAAAATGAACGTAATAAACATGCCTTTCAAAAATATACAGCCGTTTGGATGTTGGCATCAGTTTGCAGCCCAGATTCGACGGCAACCAGCGTCTCAGATACTCTACGCAGAAGCTTTAACAACATAAACATGTCGGACCTGCGCACGTACCTGCCGCAGGATGAGTACATCTGGCTGGCAATATGGCTTCCGCCCATGTCCCCCTGGAACGCCCAATGATCCACGAAGCGCTTATCCAGGGTCTTATAGACGCTCTCGTCGTCGGCGGAAACGGGGGCCACCTCCCCGCCGAGCATTGCCTCGTACCGGGTAAGCATCCCGATCTGCTTGAGGGGGCGGATTTCGCAGCACTCGCTGCTGCTGCAGCAGTACAGCAGCGCCCGGCCGCGGACGAGGACGGAGAAGTTGTTCGAGCTGTGTTGCTGCCCGTACGGGCATTTGCGCTCTCCGTGTGCCCTGTAGACGTACATGTCGCCGGCTGGGTACTTCTTCAGCCTGTCGAAGGTGGATCTGGTATCCCCTGCTTTTGCGAGGCACACTCGAATCCGCTCCAGAACGGCCGGTTCGGCGTTGCCATCCCTCTCGGTCGGGTCCGGTTCGGCCGTCGGACCCCAGAAGGGCTCGTGTTTGACGGAGTCCCTGAAATACACACGAGCGTTGAACGGTCGGCGGCAGCTTGAACTATCATGAACGGTTGCACACCTCATACGTCTCTGCGTTCAAGTGTTCAAGAAATGGCACAAAATATTCTCAACCTCTACAGAAGTGGTACAACGGATGCATCTACTGGGAGGATTCGAAGAGCGCCATGGCATCCCAGAACAAGCCTCACCTGGCGGCAGCCCCCTCGCCGTTGATGACCGCGATCAGCCAATCGGGCATTGCCTTCAGGTTGGACCGGTCCTTCAGGATCTCTTGGATCCACTCATACCGCCGCTCCTCGCCGTCTAGGGCTCTGTAGCAGCTCGGATCGCAGTATATGAGCCCTCCGTCTCCCCGGGTGTCGATTCCCACCTGTTTTTCTCCACGTGAGACCTTGCCGATTGCCGCCGCTGATCAGACCCGCTTGCGTCGAGGCCGCAAGGGAGAAAAACAGGTGCAGGCCACCCCTTCCCGTTCGCTCGCAAGGGGTGTCGTCGGGCAAACTGTCGTTCTCTTCCACCATCTGTCCGAAGGCGACATCTCCGCCACCGGACAAATCGATGTCGACCACGTAGCGATCCGATTCCGACCCGGTCATGATTGCTAATGATTTGCGCCCCTGTTTCACGTGCTTCTGCAAGCAGTTGTCCAGACGACACTCCTTCCAGCCGTCGGTGAAATTTCGCGGCTTTTTGACGCCGTCCTTGTTGACGAAGAGGTCCAAAGTGCACGCAGGGATTGCGAGGCTGTGAAAGTGGCGTGCTGCAGCGACGCATTTGTCTACGGCTGGCTCCGTTGCCTCTGCTGTCGCCTCCTGCAAAAGCCGGAGACCGATATTACTTTGCCCGAATTCTTGAACATCCTAAACATGCATACGGCGAAGGCTACCAGACTGGGCACGCATCCAGGTGTTTAAGTTTTCGCCGAAACTATTATGGGATCCTAGCTCAGAGGGCCTACCTCCGACCCGTCGTCAGTGGCTTCCTCAGTTGCCTCCGGCCGTGGCTCAAGTAGTCCGATCTCCATGCCAGCGTGAGCTGCTGCCCCTGCCGCCACCTGGAAAAGCTGGAGACCAATAAAAGTTTGGGCGAATCCATATACATTTTGAACATACGTACGGTGAAGGCCAAGGCTACCAGACTTGGCACGCCTCCAGATGTTTTTGATGTTCATGCTTTTGCCCAAATTATTATGAGATCCAAGGTCAGTAGGTAGGCTGCCTCTGCTACCGCCACCTGGAAAAGCCGGGGACTGAGATTACTTTGCGCAAATTCCTGAACACTCTGAAAAAGGACAAGGAAGGCTACTCGGCAACGCATCCGGATGTTTGTGATGTTCATGCTTTTGCCCAAACCGAGGTCAGCCGACCTACCTCCGACCTGTCGGGAGTGGCTACCTCAGTTGCCTCCGGCCGTGGCTCTTGATCGATCTCCATACCAGCCTGTGCTGCTTCCCCTGCAGCCGCCACCTGGAAAAGCCGGAGTCCGGGTTTACTTTGTGCGAATTCCTGAATACTCTAAACGGGACGAGGAAGGCGACTTCGAACGCATCTGGATGTTTACGATGTTTATGCTTTTGCCCGAAGTATTATGGGATCCTAGATTAGTAGACGTACCTGCGACCTGTCGCGAGTGGCTTCCTCAATTGGCTCCGGCCGTGGGTTTGCTTCGATCTCCATACCAGCCTGTACTGCCGCCTCTGCTGCCGCCTCCTAAAAGATGCCGGAGGCCGAGAAAGGCTTGCGCAAATCCATAAACACTAAGATGCTATTAGACTCGGCAACGCATCGGAATGTTTATGATGTTTATGCTTTTGCCCAAAACTATCACCAGATCCAAGCTCAGTCGACATACCTCTGGATCGTCGCAAGTGGCTTCCTCGGCTGGCTCCATCCGTGGTTATTGTTTGACACCTTCGCACCATTTGGCAACAGTGGATGCGGTCTTCCACGTGTTCAAGATGTTTGGACTTTTGGACAAACTATTTTCATGTGAGCGAAGGAGAAGGGGCAGGCTTTTGATGGAATCTGTCACGGGGGTGCCCCCTCTGGATATTTGATGTCCTTCTTTTCTATATGATCATCTTTTTTATTAATAGGAAAAGAAAGACATTAAACATCCATAGTGTTATTGGATCGGAAGGCCATTGACAGAACTCTGGTTCTCTCCTTGGCTCTTTGAAAGAGTTTGTCCAAAAGCTTAAACACCTTGAACATGAAATCGAGAGGTTTTCTCTCGCCTAAAGTCTTTATGGGTTCCAGAGTGAAAGACCTACCCCCGAGTTGCAAATGGCTTCCACAGTCGCCGGCTCTTGCGGCATGGTGCCCACTGCCGCTGCCTCCTGGATCAGCCAGAGACCGAGATTAGTTTGCGCAAATTCAAACATCCTAAACATAAAGCCTCGGCGGCTGCCGCTGATGTTCATGCTTGTGCGCAAACTGTATATGGGATATTGAATCATATACCAACCTCTGGATCGTCGCAAGAGGCTTCCTTGGCTGGCTCCGGCCGTGGCTCTTGTTGGATCTCTATACCGGCATGTACTGCTGCCGCCACCTGAAAGAGCCAGAGACTGAGAGAAGTTTGCGCAATTCCATAAACGTCCTGAACAAGACAAGGCATGCTACCAGGCTGGGCACGCATCTCGATGTTTATGCCGTTTATGCTTTTGCCCAAAACTATCACGGGATCCAAGCTCAGTCGACATACCTCTGGATCGTCGCAAGTGGCTTCCTCGGCTGGCTCCGGCCGTGGCTCTTGATCGATCTCCATACTAGCATGTACTGCTGCCTCTGCTGTTGCCTCCTGCAAAGTCGAAGACCGAGAGAAGTTTGCGCGAATTCCTGAACACGCTGAACAGGACGAAAAAGGCAACTCGGCACGCATTCGGATGTCTATGATTTTTTACTTTTGCCCAAAACTATCACGGGATCGAAGTCTGTAAACCTACCTCTCGATCGTTGCAAGTTGCTTTCACAAGTGACCCCCGGCCTTGCTCATCTTCCATCTCTGCCGGCGGTTGGTGAAAGTTGTCCACCCTCGTGTCCAGCTCCATATCAGTTGCCACTGTCGCTGCCACCTGGAAAGTTTTCCAAGAATAGTTTGCGCTAGTTCCTGAACATCTGAACACTGGATGGAAGATTTCTACTGATGTGCATGCATCTTGTGGTGTTCAAGCTTTTGTCGAAACCTTGTCACAGTGCTAGTGAACTCACCACTTTGCAGGCGGGTTTTGGCCGCTTGCCTTTTTTTGGCATCCTCGTCTTCGTGCGCTTTGTGCTTTCGTTACTGAGCATGACAGCCTCCAAACTAGTGCTCATGCTACTTACGTATTCCGGAGAAGTTGGCGAGTACAGTGTCTCAGCTCCTGGAGCCATTTCTGGACTGTGGTTTTCCATCTCAAAAGGCGGGGTTTCAATGCTAAGAATCGATGTACAACCGTGCTGTATGTTGGAGGGAGCAATGCCGACTACCTTGCATCCGCTTGTGCTTTCGCCACTGTTTGGAAGCGCTTGCTAAGCTTTTACAGTCGTGTATCTTGTGCCGATCACTCATAAGCCCTCTTTGAACCTTGCAGCTTTTAGCAAGACTTTGAACACGAATTGAAACCTTTGCACGAACGTTTGCGCACGGTGGCCATCGACGGCCGTCGCTGCACGATCGGGAAAAGTTTGGTCCAGACCTTGAACAGTCTGAACATGCTCGATGAAGCCCCAAGATAGCCTAGCCTAGTTCCCTCCGGCGCTACAAATTTGGGTGATGCGGCGGGCGTCGCCGATCGGTTGAGCCTAACGTTCGACTTCATATGGTTTGGCCGCATATTCGGGAGGTGGGCGAGTCCTTGGGCCCTGGGGCGCCTATCGAGGGTTTGAAAATAAGGTCGGTCAACGTGGCAAGGCATTATCGCATACTGTTAGGTCTATGACATTGGCGGGCTGTCAAGCCCAGCAGGAGACGTGTCATCTGTAGTACTTTGATCCGGAAAGCAGTACTGATGGGCGTGGCTATGAAGGCTGGTCAAAATACTCATAATGATCAGCCTTCGTTGAAGGGCAAACCATATGCAACCACGTAAAGAAAAGCAATGAAAATCCACGTACTATCTTCTAGTAGGGGCCATCAGAGTTCAGAACTTCAGCATTCAAACTAAACACAGCAACAAACGTTTGGCTTGCTCTCAAACGCCACGAATTTCCTTCAAGAATGGCGGAGGTTACCGAAAACCATCTGAGAGTAAAGCTGCATGCTCTGCAGATTCTGTCCGGACAGGAAGGTGCAAGCCTACTGCTTACGGAACTGGGGGTAGCCATAAAAACACAGATGGGACATACAGTGAAGGGAAAATTGAAAAAGATTCTAGCACTGTTCCCTGCTGATTTCTGGATTGATGCTCAAGACAAAGTAGTCCTGCTCAACAACCAGAGATCCTCAGGAAGGCCTATAGTGCCCCTCGAACAGGACGTTCTCCGTGCAAACCCCTCAAGATGCCCCTCTAACTTCCTTCCCACTGTCACAGTCCAAAAGAAGGAAGGAAAGGCTTCACAAGCAGGGGCAGTATTGCCTGCCTGGGTGGGCATCAAGCTGAATCGTGTGGCCTCCCAAAGCGGTGCATCTAACAGCAGCGCATCTGCAAGCACAAGCCAAAACTGGCTCATCAAACCAAAGGCGCCAACTCCGGTGACTGCAAACAAAGTGCCAACTCCGATGCCTGCAAATCAAACTTCAGAGACCAAGAGACTGGGAAAGCTTCCTGTGACTACGAGGCAAGCACCAATTCATTTGACTGGACCTCAAGCACCATTTCAAGTAAACGAGACTCGAGCACCAGTTTCATCAACTAGGAATGACGAGGCACCAGTTCCAGCAACCAAGGACCAAGCATCGGTTTCAAATACAGCCGTCTGGGTACCCCAGCCACTGGTCGCTCCAGAGAGTCCCAGCCAGGTGCTTGTCATCACCGACAAGGAAGCTCTGGGTGCCGCTGTTCAAAGCATTGCACAGCATTCCACCATTGCAATCGACTGCGAAGGTTGCAACCTGAGCCGGACAGGAAGGCTGTGCCTCGTCCAAGTGGCGCTCCCCCCTCCCAAGCACTGCGTATATCTCTTTGACCTTGTCTCTATGGACTCTGACACATTAGAAGCACTGAAGCAAAGCCTCGGGACTATACTTGAGGACAGGAGCGTCACAAAGGTGATCCATGACTGCAGGCAGGACAGCGACGCCCTCTTTCACCAGCTTGGCATCCGGCTGGATGGAGTGTTTGACACTCAGGCTAGCTACGTGGCGCTGGTTAAAGTGCTGAAGGCGCAGGCTTGCAGCACGAGCAGGTTTGTCCCCCTGCCAGGCCTAAACCAGCTGCTGAAGGAGTATACCGGGAAGGAGAACTCGGCGAAGCAAGATGGAAAGGTGCTCATGGAGAGGGTAAGTTATGCACTGCTGGCTGTTGAAAGAAGTACTCTTCAGCAACGGGGTTTGTGTTCGTGTTTGTGTTATTTGTGGCTTCCATTGGTTCTGAGCCTCAGAATGGCTGTCAACGTGTCTAGTAAGTGATAGGCAGATCAAAAGCGTTCTGTTGGGCTGACCAATGAGGAGGCATACGAACTCGAGCAGGGCTTGAAAGCGAACGTGTACCAAGCATTCTTTTTGAGCTGTAAGAACTCACCTTTCATTTGAAAAGGCAATCAGTGGAGAAGGTTCTGCCATTTGCCTTGAAAGATTGATCAAATTTCTGCAGCTCTATATCGTGAAGATCTCACCTAAGCGATCATTAGACTCCATCAGACGAGGACTTCTTGAGCTTTAAAACCTCCCTCGAATTGACCGCTGAGGTTGGAGATGGGAGCTTCCCTGCTCCCATCTTTGACCTGGAAGCTTACAGGCAAGTCACTTCGAGATGCATTGTGAAGCCATCTAACGATAAGAACTGCTGAGGTATCACCAATAAAACCCAGAGTCGGTCCGTCCTCCTTGCAGGACCCCTCCATCTGGGAAAAGCGCCCCCTCAGCTTCGTCCTCCTACAGTATGCGGCTCAGGACGTCATGGGTCTCTTTGCCGTCCAAGACGGTATCCTCCGAGACTCTTCGAAACTCGCCCTGGCTCAGCTGTCGCTCGCTAGTGCACAGTACGTCGGCGCGTTTCGCAACAACGGGGCGTCGGGAGCCCCTCCCAGCGGGAAGCAGAGGATGGCTTTCAATAAAACGGGCCGTCTGGTGCCCGTATCCGAGTTGACTTCTGAAGACACAGCCCCTGAGGAGAGCAACAGCACGGAAGAAGACTTAGCGGAGCTGCTGGCTCTTCTTCCGATAGACTTCACCGCAGAGCTCGCGAGCGGGGGCCATCGACTTATGGAGATTGTGCTCGACTTTGGCAGGCGGCCTGTTGCGCGCTTCCTCGATGGTAGCCGCGCGTTTCTCGCCCCTGAGGTGGTCTCGAGAGCAGCCCTGAACTCCGCAGTTCAGCGACTGGGTGCTTTTGGGAGCGACAATCGGGCGGGCGTCCCTGGCACTCTGCATCGCATCAGCGCGCTGCGAGAGAGGGACTCAGGGGAGGTTCTTGGGCTGACCTACCGGGTGGGCCGAGCGGTTCTTGGGAGTGCCAGCATGGCGCGTGATATGCTGAAGACGGGGGGAAATATTTTGCTCCTGGGCCCTCCGATGACGGGCAAGACAACAATAATACGAGATCTGGCGCGGCTTCTGTCGGACGACAGTTGGGTGGTGATTGTGGACACCTCGAATGAGATTGCGGGAGCAGGGCCTGTGGCGCATGCTTCGGTGGGGAACGCTCGACGGATGCAGGTGAGATGTGAATCCGACTTTCAAAAGGGAAGCATGCTTTTCAACCCGACGTTGCCGCCGCAGATTGTCGAGAATCAGGTCCAGGGAAGTATAGAGGAGTTTTGAGGGAAGTATGGGAAATTCATTTTGCTTGGATTTCTGTCTGCCTTTGTTGCTCGAGCTTGTGAAGAGATGGTATGGGAAGCTGACAGCCCTGAACAGCCAATCCACTTTGCGTTGTCTTCACGAAGCAATTGAGGAGGTAAAGATGATTCATTTCGAACCGTTTTGACTCCCGCTTGTACCCCGTCAAGCAGTGCATTTGCCCGCTACGTTTTCCTTTTGAATTACATTCATCTTTTGTATCATTCTTTGTTTTTGGCTATTGGCGTCCTTACATATGCCCCCTACCTATTAGAAACGATCAACACGCTTAGCATACGAGTCATGGGCTTTGCAGCATTTTGCATCATGAAGTGTTGCCTCTCGCTTCTTTGTAGCCGAGCATGGCATTCTAACAAGATATGAATTGTTTGTAGGTGAAAAACTTGGAGAGCCAGTCCGCAACCATGATCGAGTGCGTTCAGAACCACGCCCCAGAGGTGATCGTTATAGACGAGATTGGACGCAAGAAGGAAGCAGAGGCTGCGCGCACAATCGCCCAGCGTGGCGTGCGCCTCATCGCGAGTGCGCATGGAAGCCTCGCCAGCCTCGTCTCCAACCCGTTCCTTTCAGAGCTGCTGGGAGGAGTGGACCTCGTGACAGTCGGCGACTCTGCTGCAAATAAGTTATACAACGGCAGAAAGAACGTCCAACAGCGGAAGCGCGAGTCCATCTTTCAGACGATCATCGAGCTCGCCCCAGAAAGGTTAAGCGAGTGGGCGATCTTCGATGACGTTGAGACGAAAGTCGATAAGATTCTTAAGGGAGAGCCCTTCGAAGCAGAGATTAGAGTTTTAGACACTCAGACGGGGACGATCATGGTAGGACGAGAGATACGTGTTCACCAATGATTTGACCCCCGCAATTGTCTAGATATTCGCCCTTACATTCCGAAGGCCGTGCGTGAAGTCTATGAAAGACATGCCAGAAGCTTGCCAGAAGCTCGTGAGATTCTCGAGCTCACGTTCACTCATGGCTTCCACACTTGCCTCCGGCCGTGGCTCTTCTTCAATGTCCTCGGGCTCTTGCTGCATGTTGTCGAGACTTGTCTCCAGCTCCACACCACCTTTTAGTGCCATCTCTCGCATTGCCTCTTGCAAAAGCTGGGGACCGGGAGTAGTTTGCGCGAATTCCTGAACACCCTAAACATGCATGCGGCGGAGGCCAAGACTACTAGACTTGGCACGCATCCAGATGTTTTTGATGTTCACGCTTCTGCCCGAACTTTTCTGGAATTCGGGCCAGAAGATCTACGTTGCAAGTGGCTTCCTCGATCTCCATACCACTGGCATCTGTTTGCCTCTGCTACTGCCTCCGGAACTTACCACAGGAACCTATTCACAACGTCTTTGGCTACAGACGTCTTATGCTTTTATGCAGTGGCAGGCACGACGTTGGAGATACTTTGAAAGAGGAAACGGACTTTGGACTTTAGAAATACACGAGGTTCCGCTCCGAATCATTTGGCAATCCTTTTTGCCGATTTAGGATTGTATGAATGTGTACCATATCTCGCGATTCTCCATTCATGAATATCTGTAGTAACGAGCCGATTGATACAGCAATAGGCTTGTTCAGGATGTTCAAGCTTCTGCGCAAAATATTCCCCACGTTTGCCATGTGGCGAGGAAGATGTGCGGTCTTGCATGGCAGAAGGCTTGTTTCAGGATGTTCAGGCTTGTGGGCAAACATTTCTCAGGAGGCATGGCATGGGGTTACGCAGCAAATTTATGTGAATCGTGGGTGACTCGAAAAACAACTAGATGGATATTTACAAAGTGAAAATTCGTTTTTCAGAAATTGGACCCCGTTTTCCATTTTAAACGACTATTGGCATCCTCCTTAGCCATCTCTTAACGACCGACTAACGGGCTAACTACGTACATACACGGCGTCTGTGGGCATCGTGCCATAGCATGGGTCAAAAGCGGCCTTGACCACCTCCTTCCATACGCCTTTGCCATTCCTGCAATGGGATACACATGTTTAACGACTATCTTCTTGTATTCAATTTTTTTTGATCATATGGAAAAAGAAGGGCAGTGAACACCCATTATTGCTTTTGGAACCGTAGGGCCTTTGACGTGCATTAGATCCATGAATTACTTTGCGCAGATTCCAAAACATTCTGAACGAGCTCGTCATGGCTCACCTCCGCCTCCGATGAGGAAGAAAACCTTCTCTTCGCGGATCATGTCGTTTGCGGCCGCATAGGCAAAAACGAGGCGTGCTGCTTTTCCTGCTGCGTCCTTCGTTGCCTCCTGCATAGGCCAAGAATATATGTTGGGCATATTGCTGAGCTTCTTGAACATGGAATAAGAGGATTTTAGAATCTGCAGCCAGCCAACTGTTCGTGGTTTCAAGCTTTTGCCCAAACTATTCTGTAATCCAAGTTCAGTAGATCATCTCTGGCTCCGTTGCCTCTGCTGTCGCCTCTTGCAAAAAGCCGGGGACCGAGAATACTTTGCGCGAAATCCTGAACATCTTGAACATACGTATGGCGAAGGCCAAGGCTATGAGACTCGGCAGACATTCAAGTGTTTATGATGTTTATGCTTTTGCTCAAACTGTTATAGGATCCGAGGTCAGCCGTCCTACCTCCGACCCGTTGCGAGTGGCTTCCTCAGTTGCCTCCGGCCGTGGGTTTGCTTCGATCTCCATAACAACATGTACTGCTGCCTCTGCTACCGCCACCTGGAAAAGCCGGGGACCGAGAATAGTTTGCGCGAATGCCTGAACACTCTAAACAGGACGAGGAAGGCTACTAGACTCGGCACGTGCATCTGGATGTTTATGATGTTTATGCTTTTGCCCAAACTATTTTCAGATCCAAGGTCAATAGGTAGGCTGCCTCTGCTGCCGTCACCTTGGAAAGCCGGAAACTGAGATTACTTTGCGCGAATTCCTGAACACTCTGAACAGGACGAGGAAGGCTACTCGGCAACGCACCCGGATGTCTATGCTTTTGCCCAAACTATTCTGAGATTCTGAGATTCTTTTGCCACCTCCGAGTCTGCTGCCACCACCTGAAAAAAGCTGGAGACCGAGAAGAGTTTGCGCGAATTCTTGAACACTCTGAACAGGAAAGGAAGGCTACCAGACTGGGCACGCATCCAGATGTTTATTGATGTTCATGCTTTTGCCCAAATTATTCTGAGATCCAATGTCAATAGGTAGGTTGCCTCTGCTGCCCCCAGCTGGAAAAGCCGGAGACCGAGAAGAGTATGCGCAAATTTGTGAACACATTGAACAGGACGAGGAAGTCGACTCGGCGTGCATCTAGATATTTATGATGTTTATGATTTTGTCAAAAGCATTTTGAGATTTAAGCTAAGTGGACATACCTCTGGATCTTCGCAAGTGGCTTCAACATCTGCCGCCCTAAGACCCTAAAACCCTAAAACCCTAAAAGCCTAAAACTGGCCGACCGTGGATTTGCTTTGATCTCCATGCCAGCCCGAGCTGCTGCCACTGCCGCCGCCCCCTGAAAAAGCCGGAGACCGAGATCACTTTGCGCCGAGTCATAAGGCGCCAGGATGTTCAAGATGTTTGAACTTTTGGCCAAACTATTCTGAGATCCAAGGTACCGAGGTATAGTGCCTTTGCTGCCGCCATCCGGACAAGCCGGGAACTGAACAAGGACCTTGGCGCGGCATCTGGATGTCTATGATGTTTAAGGTTTTGCCCAAACTATTCTGAGATCCGAGGTCAGTAGACCAGTGGACCTACCTCCGACCCGTTGCAAGTGGCTTCCACAGTTGGCTTCGGCCGTGGCTCTTGTTCGATCTCCAAACCAACATGTACAACTGCCTCTGCTGCCGCCTCCTAAAAGATGCCGGAGGCATCTCATGTCAACGTGGTCCCCCCTCTGGATGTTTCATGTCCTTCTTTTTTATATGATCAATTTTTTTATTAATAGAAAAAGAAAGACATTAAACATCCATAGTGCTATTGGAACTAGAGGCCACTGACAGAACTCCGGTCCTATCCTTGGCTCCTGGAAATATTTTGTCCAAAAGCTTGGACACCTTGAACATTGAATGAGAGGTTTTTAGGCCTTGCAGGTACCTTGATTGTGTTCATGCTTTTGCCCAAACTATTTTGGGATTCGAGGCCATAAACTGCACTGGCACGGATGTCTTTTGGACTTGTCTTCAGCTCCACACCACCTCCTACTCCTGGAATGGGGGGAGATTGAGAAAAGGTTGCGCCAATTCATGAACACCTTGAACATGGAATGAAAGGTTTTATACTGTGCAGGCTTTTGTGATTGTGTTCGTGCTTTTTGCCTATATACCTACCTCTGGGTCGTCGCAAGTGGCTTCAACAGATGGCTCTTCTTCAAACACCTCCGGCTCTTGCGACATGTTGATGTTGCCCAGTTCTACTTCCATCTCTCTTGACGCATCCTGAAAAAGGGCCAGAGACCGAGAAAAGTTTGCGCCAAGTCATGAACACCTTGAACATGAGATGAGATGTTTTTAGACCCTGCAGGCTTTTGATTTGTGTTCATGCTTTTGCCCAAACTTTTTCTGAGATCAATAGCTATATACCTACATCTAGGTCGTTGACAGTGGCTTCCACATGTGGCGACCACATCAGCTCTTCTTCCATCTCCGTCGGCGGTTGCTCAAAGTTGTCCAGCCTCGTGTCCAGCTCCATACCACTCTCTCTTGCTGCCTCTGTCGCTGCCACCTGGAAAGATCCCAAGAAGAGTTTGCGTCAGTTTCTGAACATCTGAGCACTGGATGGAAGGTTTCTATTGCTGTGCATGCATCTTGTGGTGTTCAAGCTTTTGCCAAAACTGTTCTGCAAAGTGGTATGGTGACTCACCACTTTGCAGACGGGCTTTTGTCGCTTGCTTTTCTTGGGCAACCTCGCTTTCGTGCGCTTCGTGCTTTCGTTACTGAGCACTACTACAGCCTCCAAACTAAGGCTCATGCTGCTTACGTAGCCCGAAGAAGTTGGCGAGTAGAGACTTTCAGCTCCTACAGCCATTTTTGGACTGTGGTCTTCCATCTCAAAAGGCGGGGTTTCAATGCTTAGAACCGATGTACAACCGTGTTGTGGAGGGAGCAATGCCGACTACCTTGTACCTATTTTTGCTTCCGCCACTTTTTTGAAGCGCTTGCTGAGCTTTTGCAGTCGTGTATCTTGTGCCGACCACTCCATAAGCTCTCTGTGAACCTCTTTGTCTTGCAGCTTTTAGGAAGACTTTGATTTGAACACTAATTGAAACCTTTGCACGATTTGAACACTAATTGAAACCTTTGCACGAACGTTTGCGCACGATGGCCATCGACGGCCGTCGCTGCACGATTGGGAAAAGTTTTGGTCCAGACCTCAGTGAACGGTCTGAACATGCTCGATCAGCCCTAAGTTAGCCTTGCCTAGTTCCCGCGTGGTTCCCTACGTTTTTCGACGGTGCGAATGCCTAAGTTCGGTGATGCGGGGGATGCGGAGGGATCCCGGGCCGCTATGGTCGCCAACAGGGTATGGTCAGAGCAGCTCATATTCCTGGCAAAGCATCCTATAGATAAGAAGCGTGGAAGTTTCCAACGCTCGTCAAAGGCTCATTTTGTGTCGGAGGCATGGTGACCCTACTTTCTTCAAGAAACATTGGGAATACAAACCCTAGAACAACATCTTAAGTACTGTGAGTTCCGGGAAGAAGTGGTAACCCTAGTTTCTTCAGGAAAAATTGGGAATACATACCCTAATAACATCCAAAGTACTGTGTTGTTTCTTAGCGATGGAAGGAGCGGAAACAGTGATGAGCCATATATCACAATTTGGAAAAGAGACAGTGCCCTGCGCCAAACAATTGTGTCATGCGATCCAGATGCTGCAGGCTGCATTGGAAGCTGCTAAACAGGACGACCGGGAATGCAGGGAAATAATTGCAACTGTGGTGTGTAGGGCACCCATCCTTGAGGCGCTCATGCTGGAAGGGCGGCACCATACCAATGACCGCATCAATCAGGCGATGACGACTGCATTGGAGCTTTCCGTCCAAGCTGTGGATGAGGCATGCATGGCAGTTTACATGTGGTTGGCGAAGAGTAGCTTGGCACGGATCGGCGCAGCGCAGGGGTTCCAATCAAAACTAAGGAACGCTAGCAACTTCTTGCGGAATCGCATGGACGACATACAAGCCCTCCAGATGCACATAGTTTACGCAAAGTCCAAAGAAGCAGTAGAGGAACTCAGGGGCATCCACAGTGACATTGCCGCAGCGGTGGATGAGTTGAGTCGGATCGGAGACCGCTCAGGGATGAATTTAATACAGACCCAAGCGATCGCAAGAGCTATGGTAGATCGTGCTGAGAAAGGGCAAAAGCTAAAGGGCCACACCGGTTCGGTCAGGGCCGTCGCGT